TTTAACTGCTTAAAGCATACTACTCAAATATATCTCAATCTCAACTACGAATGAAGGCACGTGTTTCCCACGCGTTTAAATTTTTTTACATTTTTAATGGGGTATAATACTATGAAAAGCGCCCTGATCAGTAGAAATCTGCATTTTTAGCAAGTATGAAAAAAATGGTAGGATAGAACAACTTCATAAATTATGTAAAAAGGTCCATTAAGCCTATAAAATTGTAGTTTTTTTAATTGCTTTCATAAATCCTGTAAAAAGTTTAAAAATACAATGTTTTGGTCATGTTGGTGCCTTTAATTACAGTTATAAACATGTGGAGTTTTGTATCACAGTCAAAATACCACTTCGTTAATATTTTGCTAACTTTTAAATTATCAGAATTTATTTCGCATTTAATTTATTTACATAAGATGTTTAGCATGTTTGAAATCCAAAATTCAAACATTATAAACAACTTGTTGCTACTTCTTTTGTGTAAAATTGTACACATGACATTAAGAGGATATTTTTTCGTTTGAGTGAAATATGGAATATATTTTCACAAAACATGATAAAATGCCATATATTTTCACGATCCGGGACGGCGAGTGAAAATATATGGCATTTTATCATGTTGAGTGAAAATATATACCATATATTCACGAAAAACGAAAAAATAACCTTTTTATTTAATTTCACTATCAAAGAAAAATGGTAACGAACCGCCTTGCTTGCTACGCAACTGCAATTGTACAGCGCGCAGTAATATAATTATTGTCTTATTTTGCACGCGATATTTAGCGCTACACTGTGACGTGCCGTAAAACACTCTTTTAACGTCTGTGCAGCGTTAATGACTGAATTAAAGATATTGGTGTTCGGATTTATTTTATTAGTTAGACCATTTTCTATCATTCTTTGTAGTTTTCAAAGCAAAATTCATCAAAAAGTTTTTTTGTATTTATCAGATTTTTCAAACCAAATGGCGAAAGAAGTCCCTTAAAATAAATATGCGTTTTGACTCCGCCCACATTCATGTTTATAATTCATTCTTATTTTTAAAAAATATGAAATATGTATGACTTATATAGCACCATATTTCATGGGTAAAATTAAATAAATTGTTATATTTACATATTAAACAGTCATTTACTAGAACAGCACACACCTTTACATGTTATTGACTAAAGGGAGACGATGTGATGAACTCTATGCACACTGATTTGAAACTCTCCAACTTGGATACTAAAACAGACTAACACTTTGTTGCTACGTTATACCAAAGCATATGGATAACTTTGCAGTTGCTGTTGAAGCTACTACTATTAGGTAATTGCTTGTTTGTTTTGTTTTGTTACGGCGCACCAACACAGTTTGGATCATATGGTGCCAAAACAGAAAAGATAAGGCTTACCTCAGTTGTTACAATTTTATAGCAACACAGGGCTCATAACCACCTCACCTAAGAGATGCATGGACTCATTTGTTCGGACTCACTTAGTTGCCTTTTCCGATTACAAAGGGTTAAACGGTGGCTGCAATTCCGATGCCTCAACCAGTAAAGAACTGTTTTAAATACATTTTGTTACTTTAAGCTTTAATGAAACAAATCTTAGGCAAAGAAATGAATATCTGCACGAAAGGGTCATACACATGAATAAACAAAATGTGTTTAAACCAGAAGCTTTGCATAGATACCTTGCAATAAAAAATAAATGCCCTGTTAATGCTGTTTATTCTAACTTATTACCCTATTAAAATTAAAAATATAAACTAATTAAGAAAAAGAAAAATGTTTATAAGCAAGGGCAGAATAAAAATTAGTCAGTCCTATGCTTTATAATAATGATTTGCGATGTTAAGAATTGCTTTAAATCTGTAAATTAGGACTTTTTAAGGCATGTGCACGTACGAAGGATGTTTCTTGTTAAATATCTCAGGAATAATCAAGATGTTAACGACTATAAATGTAGGGAAACCTTTATTTAAGGATGTTATTTTAAAGGAAAATGCATGTATTTCAATTAAGACACTTTTAACTTAGACTACAGGTAATAAGCTGGTCACAATGCTTTAACATTGTTACTGAGTAAGATTTATTTTTCTTGCAAAAAGAATATTGACAACAAATGACATACATGACATACAATAAATGATTTTTGATCATAGTATATTTCAAATTCGAATTCAATCGATGACAATCAGTTACATTTGGACTGCCAAACACATCTAAAGTGTAAGTACAAATGTAGCTATAAATGTATTTAATGTACACAGAAAGTGAAACCTCAGACGCTTTTAAGACAATGTTAATTCAATTAAAGTAAACGAAATCTCGAATCCAACATGAATGTTATAATCATAGTATAAATTAAAACTAAAACTTGTTTAATCACTATAAATCATCGACAAAATAAGATTACATTTTGTACATGAGCAGCTAGATCATATAGTATATGACCACCGAATATGCAGCTCTTAAAAATTTGTTTCTTTAAAATAAATTTACCCTTTTTGCCTATTTCAGGTAATATAAGAACGCTACCAAATTGTTGTGGTGTCCGTGGTTAATGGGCTTAAGTCGCTGTAGGATCTAGCCGCGCGAGCGTCGTCCCGGATTCTTCATCTGGGAAAGCTATCTAATTAGCTTACTTCAGTGGTTCTACTCAGGCACCCATTTGTGCCTGGAAAATGTACACCCGAGGGGATCTTTACTAGTCAAGCTGGAAATTTGCCATATAACCAATACAGTGTTGGTGTGACGTTAAACACGACCAAACAAAACAAATTTTTATTTGTCTGAATAAAACCATAAATAAAACTATTTCAAATATTAAATATTTAACAAAATATCAACGATATCATAAACGTTATAAACGGTACTAAAATTTGTTAAAAACAAAACTGTATACTAGTATTTAAAAATAAGAAATAAAAGTCATGCATAAATCAACGTGAATCTAAAACATTTAGATTAATAGATGATAACAAAGAAACAATGTAACACATTAAACATAATGTTTTAATGTTATTTAATATTATTGAATTCCCGGAGTTATAGTTAAATTACAGAACACAGATGGAAGACAAACATTTAAGCATCTGTGATGAATAACTCAATTTTACAGGAATTAGATTCGATAGCTCTTGTAAATATATTGGGTAACAAAGTAAAGTAAAGGCTCTGAACAGCTCTGAAAATGACACTACATAATGCATTTATTAAATGCAAATTAATGTGGAAACCATATCATTCGTAATTACAGTTGCTTAACACCTCATCTTTATAAATGAATGCTTCAAACTTAATAAGTCATTGTATAATGGCATAGCTCTTAAATCAGAGAAACCTTACTGTATTAAGAGACATAAAAGTTTGTTTCTCAAATAAGCATTGTTGGAGAAGATAGAAACCATCCGGAAAATTATTCGAAATAACAGGACAAATGTTTAATTGATGCTCTAGACCAGAATAAGAAAAGTACTAATACTGAGAAGCTGCAGATTTCGGTTAAAAGTTATGAGAGTCTTTCACGTTTCAAATCCTTGATTTGTTTCCGAGAAAAACACATTCAAACAAAAAGAAATATGATGAAATATCTTTAAAAAGGAAACAATAGGAATGCCCTCCCCCCGCCAATTAAAATGAGAAACCTACTGACGATAGCTTTCAACGCTTAATCAAACCGAACCTGCGGCATTTTCACTTTTTCCGTTTTTGTTTTTATTGTTTTGTTCTTCAGGATATTTTCTCCGGAAGGACGATGGTGTTTGTTATTTATCAAGGACAAATGCCCTTACTACATTTCGTGACAATTAAGGCAAAAAGTGACCACTTAACATCCAATGAGTTAACATGAGTAGCTGACCTTACACACATGGTATAGAGAAGCTAAAGAGATAAAACATCAATTTATAGTAAACGATATGATTTGCAGTGTAGCGAACGTATATTTTCATATAAACATATTTAATGGCAAAATAATAGCGTAATCATATTGACAGGCTTACTTAAGCAGATCATTTTCCGTATATATTTCTACAAACAGTAGGCATCATAATTTATTTAACCCAAGAATGCTAAGTTACCTAATGCGACATCATTGATTTATCACCCAAAGTAAAAATGTAGCAGGCTCGATTTGATTAAACCTGTCCATAAAGCAGTATCCAACATTTAAACATATGAAAAAAGTTTGGATTTGAAAATATACGCAGATGGGTTCAGAAGTATTCATCTAAGTTTATAACGGCACAGTATATTTTGAAAGACTTTTTTATGAACTAATTTAAAGGAAAGGGCTAGGAAAAAGTACATCAAATTACAGCTATAATCGAAAAGTGGTATAGAAATTTTATGATAGTAAAAAATCTACAGAAGTATTTTGTTGACAGCCATATCCACGGTGACCTATCACATGGTCTGTTAGCTGATGTCTCTCCCTTTGCTATCGTTGACAGACAAAACATTTAACCAAGCGACAATTTTGAGGGCTTTTTACATTTTACCTTCATCAGAATCATTTCCATAAAAAGACACATACCTTGTGAAAGTTCCTATACCAATATCGTTTTCTGTTATATATCATTCAAGTTCATGACTATAAAAATGACACCACTCCTGAAATTTCACCTACAACAGTATTAAGAAGAAAATAAAAATAGAAAAAAGGAATTATTAGACAAAACATAATGGTCAAAATGAAGCTTTATTTTAATGTATCTATATTCTTGTAGATTTAAATTGTTATTTGTCGTAAGTAACTAAGGTAAATGTTATAATTATCGAGATCTCATATGCAGTGCGATTTCTGTGAAATAACATTTTAATTACTTCAGTTTGCAGCCGGCAATTTTAAATAATTTAGAAAAAAGATATTGAACAAGAATTGAAAGCAGGTGTAATGTGCAATTTTCATTTTATTAATTAATTTAAATTTACAATGTGCTGGCACGCTTATTATGTGCTTGCACGAAACCAAAACTGTATTAATACACTGATACTAAGTATACGCTTTGCTTCATATACAAGTGCTATTTGAGAGAAAATGAAGATGTTGTTAGTATTTTCTGCTTTAACTGTGATAGCAGGTATGTCTGTTTTACACATCATTTAATGTTTTCATTTCAGTTCCTCGTTGTCTATTTATTTCAGGACATGCATTTAAATTAGGAGTCACAAAATGCTTTTTGTAATTTTTTTCTGATCTTAAATGTTATTTTTTTTCAATTTAATGTTTATTTCAACATTTTTTGCTTCGTTATTTTTTTGTATTTTCTTTTCTTTTCATTTCACTTAATGCGTTATTGGAATGACGTTAATTTAAAATATTTATCTGAATTTGTTCTAGAGCTAAGATGATTATGACATATATCTGTATTTTGAATCTGGTGTCATCTGTATAAAGTTAAAATAATTTGATAGTTTTATTCAATATATGGAATTAAACTACAAATACAGGAATCATGTTTAGTTTGGTTATTTCATTTTATTTTATTTCAGTATTTTATGTTGTGTAAGTGAGTATTTTATTGATACTTGCTGTGCATTCTATGGTCATAAAAATTTGATAGAAATTTACTCATTTCCATTACCAGTTTTTGCATTTCATGTTTAATAAGTCAACATATTATGTTTTCGATTGTAAGTATTTCATGGTAAGTAAGTGGGCATTTCATGTTTTATAGGTAAGTACTTTATTGTCATGTTTAATGATATAGTATTTATGCGAGTAATACGTGTTCTAAGTTAAACTTGGCTTGTCAGTGTTATTGTTTTTGCTCTGAATTCATCATGGTTTCACGCTTGTAATTTTGCTGACATGCATTTTATGGCGGATGCCCTCGATCTAAAAAGCATAGTTTATTGTAAATTTCTTGCATTTTAAAGCACTTGTGTGTATTCTTTCTTTTTTCATTTTGTTTTGATTTTTATTTAGGTTTTTTAGCTCACTGGAACCGTAGGTTCAGTGTGAGCTATTAGTATCAAAGGGAATGCTCCGGCGTCCGTTGTCGGTCATCATGCGTCAACAATCGTTTTTTTTCTCTGAAAATGCTTGGCAAATTATCCTCAAATTCGGTCTATAGCATCCTTGTGTTATTTCAATTGGCCCCTACGGCATTCGTACGCACCAAAACTCCTAAACGATGTTTAATAGCCGATAACGCCGCTAAGACAAATGTTATTTCTTAAATATATAAATTTAGGAAACCAAATATACATTCGTGCGTTACTTGACACTCTAAACGTTACAAAGTCGAATGCAAAGGTTCAAATAAAAACAGGTCTTTAACATATAACACTGACTGATATAATGATATTAAAAATGCGAATTGTTCACAATCATTGGTTCAAGTAAACATTGACCGTAAAAAAGTCTGGAAACAAAGTGATCCCTCGGAAGCATTAATCACAACAAAATTACAGGAAAATTGCCGACTTGGTTAGATTGAGTCTATACAAGAGGGATAATGAATATGTGCAACATCCCTCACTCCCCCTAGCACCGGCTTGAGCGGTAGTCAATTCTCAACACTCAATAATGCTGGCATCAATGATCCCGAAGGACCAGAAAAATATAAAAATATAACAACACTGAAGTGAAGTACGGGGCAACTTTTCACACAGCACTTGACACCTGCTGTTGAATATCCTACTATTGAAAAGCATGCATACTGAAAAAACCATAATGGGATGTAAATTAAACTTTTTACATTTATTGCATGACAGTGTTTCTATGCAAAAAAAAAAACAGCAACAACAAAACACAACAACAGCAGCTGAAACTGTTGTTATTATTTTTTTTATTTTTTTCATTTCAGTATGTCAACCAGTCTACGACTTTGTTAACTTTGTGAATCGTCCCTATGTTTTCAGTATAAGTACTGAATCACCTGTCGGATCTAGATTGGGTAGTCTCCAAGCATACAGCATGACCGTAAGTATGTTGTTTTTTTTCTCTAGGGAAAATAAGATGATTGCTTATTGAACACATAACAACCATATTCTAATATTTGACATAATGATTGGTACATTTAGAGAAGTGAAAGTAAATCCAGCCATCATTATTTCTACGTGACCTACACATTTAAATACGTATATGATAGCAAGGGGGTTGCATTTTGACATCATTGTTAAATATCCTCGACTGGATATATACCTTGACATCTTGTGTATCTTTTTCATTTCTCAGGTAATTCACAATTTTAATACCAGAAGATAAATCAAAATGTATGAAAATTAATTCACTACATAACCAATTACATTTTAATACACGAAATGCTATATTATAACTCGTATATAAATGTAAAATTAATATTCATACATATCTTATACTAAAAGGGGAAAGCTGTGAAGTACTCCATCGTGAGTGGTGACTCAACATACTTCAACTTGGATCCTACAACCGGCGAAATCACTGTTGCTCAATCCTTACCAAAAGACATAGACTCATTAGAGTTTGAAGCTCAGGCTGCTACTTCAGATGCTACTTCAGATGCCATGGACAGAACTCGTGTAACTATCTATTGTATCCGGGTATAACAAATGATATAAATGAATAAATGCTTGAATTCAAATGTACATGTAGTTTGCCTCTTTACATACTGTATAAAATGAAATAAATACTTACTTTTACTTGTTTCATAAATAAAAAAATAAAAACAATAAAATAAAATAAAACAACAACAAGATCAGACAACAAGATCTTCCAACATTGCAGTGTCATAACTTATTCTCTGTATGTGGGCCGTTGATATGTCTCACGATATAATGGTCTTTAGATCTAATACACTTTATTGTTGTCAGTTGATTTCAAATTATTTGCTTCTACTCTGCCTTGCTGAGTCACTCATTTTATCCATCGTATTGATGTCAGAAAGTACATATGTAATGTACTTTTCTCTGTTTATAGTTTAAGATACATTTTTATCTTAATCACTTGCTATTTGAATATTATAATCTACAATATACAAGACTTAAGAAGAAGATTATCCTTATTCTGTGTGTTGTTCGTTTGTTTTATTGGGGTTTACGACACAGTTAAGGTGATATGGCGACGTTCCAGCATTACCGGTGAGAAAGATCTCAGGTGCCCTTCCGTGCATTATTTCAGGCACGAACGTGTACCTGAGTAGAACCGACAACGTTCTTTAAGCTACCTGGATAGCTTCCTCACATGGAAGAATTTAAAGTCCTTGTCACAATTCGAACCCACAGTGGTGGGGGCAAGTGGTTTGAAGTCAACGACCATAACCACTCGGCTAAGGACTCCCGTTTAAGATACACTTCACTTTAGGATTTTGTGTCATTCATCATTCATAATGTTGTATGAATATTTAGATAACTTTATATGCACATAATAATTATATTGTTTGATTTCACTAAATTAATGTATATATATATACAGAATAGAAACTTGTAATTCACGCATGATACTATTGTCATATTAAAGCACACAAATGTAACACATTTTACGGAGTTTGTTGATGTATTGAGAAGTGATATCGTGTTTTAAATCAAAGGTTTCTTAAAATGAATATTGGTTTATGAACTATTGTGAATCTAGGAGCTGTTTTCAGACATAAATGATGACATGAACAACCTAATCTATGGGTGTTCGATATATTTCAATTTAGCATGTTGAGATGTCTTAGGCTAGCCGACGGCATTTTTTTGTACTTTACAAACAATATTAATTTCGTTTTGTTTCTGAATATGAAGACGTTTATACAGAGATAAACAAATATTGAAAATATTGAAAAGGTTGTATATGTAAACAAAACAAAATAACACAATCACATAGTGTTACTAAATTAATGTAATAATAAATATACATGTACATTAAATATTGTTATACAATCTATATCGATCACATCGGCGACAAGACAAATATTCATTATTGATATTTCTCACATAAATACGTTTCCTGTCATAAGAATGATTTGCATTGCAAGGTGATTATTCCTAAAGAAACATCAATATGGTCATTTGCATTTTCCGTTTGGCTAGAATAGATTGATACTGGAATTTATTCCGATGTTGTAGCTGATTTTATAACATTATTATGCAATTTGGTTTCGATTTGAATATACGTCACTATATTTCCAGGACAAAGTACATTTTTCCATATATTCTGTTTCAGCCTTTCAGACACAGCGCAATTTCGGGCTTATCAATAAAATATCTAATAAATAAATTTTCAATATAAAAAATCTTTAATTACCATTTTATAGACATAATATACTCATAGTTTTATGTTTTAAACTTACAATTCAAATGAAATGTATAGTACTTGTTTAATGCTTAGAATGCGTCTACTTATATATTCCGGTAATCTATAAAGAATCACTCACCTAATACACACTTTTCATAATGAATAGCTTATACA